TATTTGTGGTTCATTTTTACACAAATAAAAATGTGAAAGATTTGGGGAAAAAACACAAAATTGTGCTGAACTTCAGCAGTAATCAAGATAGTACAAATTAAGACAACAATCAAAGACACTATTTTCTAACCAAACTGGCAAAATTTATAACTCCAATAATACTAAGTACTGGCAGTGAGAACTCTCACACACTGTTCATAGGAGTAAAAATTGGTATAACTACTTTGGAAAATACTGTCACATTATTTACAAAAGTTGAAAATGAATAAACCCTACAATTCAGCAATTCTACTTCCAGGTATATTTAGCCTAGAAAAATTAATGCATTTGTGCACCAAGATACATGACCAAAATGTTCCCATTGGCATGATTCGTCACTACCCCAAACTGTAGATAGGCCATATAAATGAACATGAAAAAATAGATTGGATAATTAAATTTTGTATGTTCTATTGGGTTATCTGTCTTTTTCTTACCAGTATCTGGAAAGTTTAAAATACACACACACACACTTATATGTGTATATATATATATAGGCACATATATATGTGCACACATGTGTATGCATATGCACATACAATAACTTTTTTCCTTGATTAAATATGCTACAAATATCTTATCCCCACACACACGTGTTTGGTGAAATAATCACAGATTAACAACTGAGAAATTCTATGTTATGAACAGAAGGCAGAATTCTTGAGCTTGGATCTAGATACCTGATTGGTGAGATCCTACAGGAATTTTTCTGTAAAAGTATGATTTCTCTATAGGGATGCAATTACTCTCAAAGGTCCAGTCTCTTCACTTTGTTTGATGACAAAAAGTTCCAATTGCCTCTAGAAGTAATGGACTGAGACATTAGTGGTTCACCCTCTTCTAATCTGAATGGTCGACTTTCTTACCAGCTCCTGCCAACATGCCATGTGCAATCCTACCTCCATACCTGAGTTCTGATGGTTGATTAGGAACTCACCATTCATCTCTGCTTATAATATTATTACCAACAGCAACACTATAGTTAAAAAGAGGGTAGCAATTTTGAAGATGATTTCCTACCCATTACCTCCTTTGGCCCTCAAAACACCCTAAGGAAGGTATGGCTGTGCTATCATCTTTACTTTGATGATAAGAAAATTGGCTCAGAGATAAGTGGCTTATACCAGCTTCACCACTGGCAATTTGTAGAGTTTTGACTGGAAAATAAGATTGGAATCTTGAAGTTCTGGGTTCTATCTACATTATTCTTTCAGAGCTGGGCTCAAGTCTCACCTCCTCTGAGGATCTTCCCCTTCACACAGGATTCTTCCTTGTTCCTAATTATTATTTTCTATACTACTCATTTGATAATGGCCACAAATACCTTGAACTATCATCTACCTAGAGGTATAGCCTCTGTTCCACCACATTATTTGTAAGTTGCTCCTGAAGCAGCAACAATATTGAATATCAATTGGCTTCTTCATCAACTTCACACCATGTCTTTTCTGCAAATTGTGTCCAGTTAACATTGGCTGAGGCATGGCTATCACTGTGGGTTGCATTACTCAAAGAGCTGACTCTATGTAACAGGACCGAAAAGAAATATGCCCTGATCCATTCATGCTTTGTGGAACACTGGAAAAATTCCTGCTGATAAAGTTATTGCAAAGCATAGATAAACCTGGAAACCATCATTCTTAGCAAACTGACACAAGAACAGACAAACACTGCATGTTCTTGCTCATAGGCGGGTGCTGAAAAATGAGAACACATGCACACAGGGAGGGGAGCATCACATACTGGGGTCTGTGGGGGAGAACTAGGAGAGGGACAGTGCGGGGTGAGGAGTTGGAGAGGGATAACATGGGGAGAAATGCCAGATATAGGTGATGGGGAGAAAGGCAGCAAATCACATTGCTGCGTTTGTACCTATGCAACAATCTTGCATGTTCTTCACATGTACCCCAAAAACTAAAACACAATAAAATATACATTTTTCAAAAAAGTTATTGCAAAGTGCATTATATTAGTAAACATATATGCAGGGGGCTTTATTCTGTGGAAGTAGGAATTACATCTTATAGTTGTGCTTGTTTGTCTTCTTCAGAGTGCCTTCCATGTGGCAAGGACTCATCACGAAAAATTGTAAGTGATTTATACATGAAACAAGACCTCCATTGAAATTTACTAACATACATGGTGATTTATTTTTTCAGAGCCTTGGTCAGGGAGGCAAAAACTCAGTTTCAGATCTCAGTTTCTCCTTTTAACAGGAGACAGGTAAGTTAACTTCTCAAAGTTTTGATTTCCTTCACTGCAAAACTAAAGCACAAATAACTATATCATGGTGAACAAATAAAAGTATCAAATGTCTTTTTATACAACAAGAACTTTATAAAATATGAAAAAGTGTCAAACCAGATATGGTCCTTGGTGAGTTTAAGCAAGTTAAACTGTAAAAATCAGGGCTCTCAATTGTAAAATGAGAGGATTGGTTTAGATAATTTTTAAATTCTTTCAGCCTTTGGCTAAAGAGTCTATGACTCTGAAATTCCAGCTTCAATTGCCAAGGAATCCTAACATTTTAATTTTTCATTCCCAATACATAAACCTCAACGAGTCCTCTAAGGCACAAAGGAACAGTCTATTTTGAATAATTCAATCATAATCCATTTTTAAAAGAATAATCTAGCCTGATATAAATAACTGCACTGATTTATGAGTTTTCACATTCTCTTTTGAACATTTCAGGTAGGAAGTCCCTGTGCCTTTATTGCACTGCATTGAGCTGCAGGCCCTACACACAGGGTCTCTCATTCATCGGACCATTCCTGCAGGGAGAGGGTGGGTGTTGTTATTAACCGAATGTGCATTTAGTCTCCATCTGGCAGATTTCCTATGTGGAAAGGAAGAGCTCCCCACAGTAATGTGTAGTTTGTGAATTGATGTCTTGCTGCTGACATGACATCTCCTTCTGAGTAGCTTCTATAAATGAATACCCGTGTAATGTCAGCTTGAAATGTGTCTGCTGTAGAGCTGGGAACTTGGAGGGCAGGAAGTTACACAAGGAATGAAAATAAAAGCTAGGACTTGGATGGGACGGGCTTCACCTAGCTGTTCTTGCCATTTTTACTCAGGCAGCTCAAGAGCCAAAATGAGAAGTCCAAGGACAGCTAGGTGAAGAGCTAATATAGGATTCTCAATGGTATGAAAGACACATTCATTATCATGGACACACCTACATACTTAATTTCATGTTACCCTCACACTTTATCCTATACATTGGGCTCAGTGAAACTAAATGACTTTCTTGAGGTCATACAACCGATGAAGAATAGTTAGAATTTTCATCTAGCTTTTGATACTACTCTTTTATACCTATTTATAGTCAGATGGAACACTTGTTTGAGGTGATTTCAACATAAAATATAAATATGTAAGCGTTGGGCCCTTGAATGTTAGAAGACCCACCCTTTTCCTGCCTAAACTGAGGTATAGAGGCATAAAGATATATGTCCATAAGTATGATAAAATGGACTTTGGGGTCTCGATGAGGGAAGATTGGGAGAGAGGGAAGGAATAGAAGACTATATATTAGGCACACTGCTCCGGTGATGGGCTCACTAAAATCTCCTTGCAGGAACTTATCCATGTATCCATGTAACTAAAGAACTTATCTACATAACCAAAAACCTCCTGTACCCCCAAAAACTATTGAAATAAAAATTAAAATTATAAGAAAAAGAAACATGCACAGATACACATCTTTTTTTTTCCCATTTATTTATTTTATTGCATTTTAGGTTTTGGGGTACATGTGAAGAACCTGCAAAATTGTTGCATAGCAACACACGTGGCAGTGTGATTTGCTGCCTTCCTCCCCATCACCTACATCTGGCATTTCTCCCCTTGCTATCTCTCCCCAGCTTCCCACCCCCCACCGTCCCTCCCCTATTTCCCCCCAACTGACCCCAGTGTGTAGTGCTCCCCTCCCTGTGTCCATGTGTTCTCATTGTTCAACACCCGCCTATGAGTGAGAACATGCAGTGTTTGATCTTCTGCTCTTCTGTCAGTTTGCTGAGAATGATAGTTTCCAGGTTCATCCATGTCCCTACAAAGGACACAAACTCATCATTTTTGATGGCTGCATAATATTCCATGGTGTATATGTGCCACATTTTCCCTATCCAGTCTATCGTCGATGGGCATTTGGGTTGGTTCCAGGTCTTTGCTATTGTAAACAGTGCTGCAATGAACATTCGTGTGCACGTGTCCTTATAGTAGAACAATTTGTAATCCTTTGGATATATACCCAGTAATGGGATTGCTGGGTCAAATGGAATTTCTATTTCTATGTCCTTGAGGAATCGCCACACTGTCTTCCATAATGGTTGAACTAATTTACACTCCCACCAACAGTGTAAAAGTGTTCCTATTTCTCCACATCCTCTCCAGCATCTGTTGTCTCCAGATTTTTTAATGATCGCCATTCTAACTGGTGTGAGATGGTATCTCAATGTAGTTTTGATTTGCATTTCTCTGATGACCAGTGATGATGAGCATTTTTTCATATGTTTGTTGGCCTCACGTATGTCTTCTTTTGTAAAGTGTCTGTTCATATCCTTTGCCCACTTTTGAATGGGCTTGTTAGTTTTTTTCTTGTAAATCTGTTTTAGTTCTTTGTAAATTTTAGATATCAGCCCTTTGTCAGATGGGTAAACTGCAAAAATTTTTTCCCAATCTGTTGGTTGCCGATTCACTCTAATGATTATTTCTTTTGCTGTGCAGAAGCTGTGGAGTTTGATTAGGTCCCATTTGTCTATTTTGGCTTTTGTTGTCAATGCTTTTCGTGTTTTGGTCATGAAGTCCTTGCCTACACCTACGTCCTGAATGGTTTTGCCTAGATTTTCTTCTAGGGTTTTTATGGTGTTAGGTCTTATGTTCAAGCCTTTAATCCATCTGGAGTTAATTTTAGTGTAAGGTGTCAGGAAGGGGTCCAGTTTCGATACACACCTTAATATATGTTGGAATAGTTATATAGACTCTAGATTTTAATTTTTTATAGAGCTCTATGAGGCCTATTGGTGTGAAAAGTTCTTGCTTGGGCTGGGCATAGAAAGAAGTTGGGAAGGAAAAAGAGGAGAAGAAGAAAGAAAGAAAGGAAGTAAAGAAGGAGGAGCAGGAAGAGGAGGAAAAAAAGTCAATTATATCAAGTAGGAAAACTGTGTAGCTGAGATTAGAATGCACCCAGTGCTTGAATAGCTGTTTCCCAGGCTCTTCTCCAAATGCAGGCACTCTTTAGCTCTGTAGATTTCAATGAGAAAGATTCCTATATGTAGTGGATCCTAGCCTGTAAAGGCTGTTCTTCCTTGTGTGTTGCTGGATGGGCCTCATTGCTAAAGAAGAGGGGAGGGAGGAGGGTGAATTGAGCAGATATAGATTTTACAGGCCTTGGGCTCAAAACCTCCTAATCTTTCCAGGTGATGGCAACCATGTGCCAGAGAAAGCTATACCCATGTTCCTCATGTTCCACGACTCCTTCTTTGCTCTTTTTCCCAGAAGACTTATGATTTATCCTCCTCAGACAGAGGCTGCCCTGTGCATAATGGAGTTGAATAATCTCAAAACTAAATTGATGTTTTAAACCACCTGAGTTAGCCAACCAAGATTTCTGGTTTTCATCTATAAAGTAAAAATTAATTTGTTGAGTTTTCTGGGGAGATTTTGATATCATGACCCATTGTGGTGACTTAGAGTAATTGTAGTTATAAACACCATCAAACAATTGATATGTGAGAAGTGGAATTAATCACCACTCCCTTCCCAAGCACACACATTCGCTCACACCATCTAGCACATGAGACAAGACCTGAAGGTGGGCTAGTGCTGTGCGTCATTGTGCTGTTCCTATCTATCTTAAGAAGCAAATTTCCAGGCAGGCTTTTTTATTCTTGTAGCATCTAATTACAGAACACCAGAATGCAATGGAGACCCAGAGGTGAGCTGAATTATTGAAAAAATAAAAGCAAAGACAGCCCAGAAAGCTATTACACATCTTCATAATAGATTCACCAAACTTAAGGGTGCTAAGAAATGCAAGCATTTAATTCAGAAGACAAATATATTTTTTCATAGCTTTAGGGAAAATAGACTTTTTTTCTCTAAACCTTCTGGAAGTTTTGGTAATTATGTTAGAAACAAGAAACACAGAAGATAGTGTAGGCTCTCCAAAGAAAGGTTAAAGTTTAAATCATTCATCTATTAAAATGTTTTCATACGTCTGTATACAACAAGGTTTATTGTTTCCCCAACACCTTAGCGAAAGGAAATGGCAATTGCGGAGGCACATGACGAGTGAGTAAGGGCAGGAATGTGGTAGGGAAGGGAGAGTATGAGGTTGGAAGGATTTAGTCTTTGGCCACCTAACTCTTGATTTAGTGCCCTGTCCTTTAAATTACAACTTTCTCTGAAATATCATTTAAACTATTGAAACATCCTTTGTCTACATTAGAAAGTCCAACTTTCAAACTCACAGAACAAAGAAATAAAAAACAATACTGCATGTTTAGTTGATAAATATTATAAATGAAAGTGGGATCTCTACACCAAGTTTAACAGTGAATGAAAAATTCTTAGAGTTAAAAATATGGTTAGGAAAATTCAGCACATTCGGTTGTATGCTTCCATGTTCTGCTTTGAACCACATCAAAAAGCTAAATCAGGAAAAGCTTAACTGTCTCATGTTGCTGTTCACTAAATACAAGATTATCTTTGTAAGTAAGACTTTTCAATGTGCTGCTTTTTACATCTTCTCCTGATAGCAGAAGTAACCACTGTTCTTGGGGAAGAAAGAACTGAAGCCAGCCAAATCTTAAAAGTCATGATGGCATTTAGGAGGGAGAGAAAGTTTATCTCCCTTAATTGCTTGCCTACTTCCCACTCACACTTAATATTGGGAATAAAGTTTGTTGAGTATTTTCCAGAGAACACTTTTCACTTCTTTGTTCCTCAGGCTGTAGATCAAGGGATTCAGCATGGGAATCACCACTGTGTAAAACACAGAGGCTATTTTGTCTGTGTTCATGGACTGGCTGGAGTTGGGCTGTAAGTACATGAAGATGATTGTGCCGTAGAAGATGGACACAGCAGTGAGGTGGGAAGCACAGGTGGAGAAGGCTTTCTTCCGCCCTTCAGCAGAACGCATCCTTTGAATGGTGACGCATATGAATAAGTAAGAAATGAGGATGACCAGGAGGGTGAAGAAGACATTGAAGCCCACCACGAAGAAGACCACCAACTTGCTGATGCGTGTGTTGGAGCATGAGAGAGACAGGAGTGGGGGAATGTCACAGAAGAAATGATTAATCTCATTAGAACCACAGAAGGAGAGTCTGAAGGTGCCTGCTGCATGGATAGAGGCATTGAGGAAGCCAGAGACATAGGAACCAATAGCAAGGAGGGCACACACACCTGCTGTCATGGTGGTGGTGTAATGTAGGGGCCTACATACCGCTGCATGGCGGTCATAGGCCATGGAGGCCAGGAGGTAGCACTCAACAGTGGCAAACCCCACGAAAAAGAAGAACTGAGCTGCACATCCATTGTAGGAGATGACCTTGTCCCCTGACTGCAATGCATCCATTGTTTTGGGGGCTACAGCTGATGAGTAACCCAAGTCTACAAAGGAGAGGTTACTGAGGAAGAAGTACATTGGAGTGTGGAGGTGGGAGTCTGAGTGGATGATCACCATCATTCCCCCATTCCCAACCAGCGTGATGAGGTAGATGAATAAAAATGCCAGGAGGAGGGGTATCTGAAGATTGGGGTCATCTGTTAATCCCAAGAGGATAAACTCGGTGACTTCTGTGCTATTCTCCATTGTGACAAATTTGAATTAACCTGATGATTAAAGAAGAGGCAGCAACAAAATTCAAATGAAAGTATGAGATGGGATTATGGGATGATAAAAAGGTAAAAAACTAGTGTATAGAGAGAAGGTACTGTGTGTAAGATTCATGCTAAAATCTCCTGGTATATTACAGCTTTGAACTCATATGAGATAGGTGCTATTATGCCCATCTTATGGTTAAGAAAGTTAAGGCTCTGGGACCTGAATATTGAACAAGATAGTCTATTTAGGGGCCAGAATCTAAGTTTGCCCGTTTGTATTGCTGAATCCAAAGTCCATACATTCAATTTGAATTCTTCAACATATTTACATCATATAAAGTCAAATTATGATATGGATATAACTTTGTATGTATTTAATTATTAAACATTAAAATGTCCATCACTCATTGTCTTCCACATTCTACTTCCAACAGTATAGCCTCACTAAAGATTTTCCAAATTTCTCTTTCCTTAAAACAACACAAATCTATTCTCTCAAAGTTCTGGAGGCCAGAAGTCTCTAATCCATTTCACCGGGCCAAAATCAAGGTGTTGGCAGGACAAGGTCTGTTTGATACTAAATCCAAAGATCTTAACCACAACTTTTGTTGCCTTTATAAATTATTCCCTAAACCGTAGTTCAACTGAAAGGGAATATGGTATATGTAAATGTGAGTATGTATTTATATATATTTAGTATAAAACTATGACTTTAATATATACAAATGTTTTTGTTTATCTGTGTATATGCATATGTATCTTTTTTTTTACCCCTTATCAGAAGTCTTTGTGGTAGACCCTAATTACGGTTAAGTCCTCCCTTCTCTGCATCCTCAAAGCACTTGAGTCTTGGCTGATTATTGCACAATGAGTTGGGCAACCACTCACTCTTCAACTAGCTCTAAGCCCCTTGGGACAGTAACTGTCTCCATCCTTTCTGGTCCACCCATCCTGCCATGGCCCCTCACACACATATATAAATATTTGGTGAATCAAACAGAAGATCAATAGGAAAGTGTGTAAATATTTCTCATGCTCTATTCCACAACAAACAGACTGTTGTCCTCTAGTCTCACTGGGCTTGTGCTTTGGGACAGAATATTAGCTTAGATTTGTCATATGAAAAATATTCAGGAGTAACAGTGAGTTTGCAGATGATCAGGCCTGGAGACAGGCTTGTGTCCTTAATTTACAGCACTCTTTCTCGTCTATTTTTGTTCTTCAACCTGAGGTGTTCAGGGCTTTTCCCACTCCTAGTAGCAGAGTGAATGGGAGCAGACTCAGAAGAAGTGAGAAAGAAAATGCAAGAGGAGAGGAGGGAAAGAGTTTGGAAAAGAAAAGAGGAATTAGAAGGAGAAAATGCTTCAGCTCTGCTAGACTTTAGCTTACCTTGAAGAATAACAAAAAGAAGGGGATACTATAGCTTGTCCTTTTGGATGACCATGACACACACACGATGTGGCTAGTTTCATAAGAACTGGCTCAGTCAGCTTGGTACATTACTACCCAGTTATGTACCAATTGACTTTTTGACCAGTAGCATTTTCCATTATATTTATCCAGCCTTTTTGACTTTTTTTCTTTTGACTTTTGACATATGTGTATACTCTCTAATTCAGCAGACACAATATCCTGTAATCTATGACAGGCAGTGTTCTGATCTTACATATTAGGAAACAGAAGGATGTGGTGTCCCTCAAGGTCACACAACTACTTAACTGTAAAATCTGTACAATTCCAGAGCCTGATTTTCCAGCCTCAGCACTTTTGACATTATGAGCTGGACAGTTCTTTGGTGCAGGTTGTGCTGGGGGGTGGGGGAGTGCCGTCTTGTGCATTATAAGATATTCAGCAGTTTGCCTGTCCTCTCTCCACCTATTAGATTCCAGTAACACCACCACCTCCCATTTGCAACAGTCAAAAACGTCTCCAGACGTTGCCAAATGTCCCCTAAAGAGTAACATTCCCCCGATTGAGAACCACTGTTCTAAAGTTTATAAAAAACAGTGGTTCTAAAGTTTATAAAACCCTTTTTGCATTTACTTCTTAATTTAATTATTGCATGACTAGATAGATGATAGATAGATAGATAAACAGATATAGACATGAAGAAACTGAGGCTCAGCGAGGTGAAGTGACTGGTTTAAGGTCTAGAACTCTGGCCAAATATTACTGCTTATTGGTAGAGGGAACCCAGGAAGGGATAATTGCTTGCTAAGTACTGTGGTCCTTTAACTAAAGAGATATTAGCCCTCATATATCTACACCAACCTTTTCCTTGACACAAAGTAGGATGAAAACCTGGAAAAATTCCAATAATAAAATGCAGCTGACTTAGGGTGGATTCTGAATTATTTTCCAAAATACCTTCTCAAATGCTTATTAGATCAATGTCCTTGGTTAATATTGACCACGGGAGTCTATTCACTTAAGCTGTAGGTTCAGTTTCTAAAACCCATTACACATCCCCCATATTGAACTGCCCCGGACTGCCATCTTCATCTATCAGCAATTAATATTCAAGATACTTTCTGTGTTCCCTTGATGGGCAACCCTTTCCATTATGCATTGCAGTTGCTGTTAATAAATGTGTTGAAATCCAGAGCAGCAGGGAGAAATCTGGAGTCAGGGCAGAGAGAAAAGGCCCATTTACATAGCACCAACCCTCGAAGCCTGCAAGGCCTGAGTTCAAATCCTGCTGCTGCTGCTGCTGCTGCATCTCCTCCCACTCCAGTCCTGAAAAACCCAGGCTTTTCTGCATGGGCCTAAAATAAATTTCGGAAGGAGTCTTGAAAGAGAAAAAATATTTTAAAAATATCTAAGGTCGAATACTGAAATATCTAAGGTTAAAATATTAAGTTTAAAACTAAAATTTAAGGAATTATTATTGTTACAAACAGAGAAGTCTAAGCCATTAAGATAGCTTGGAAAGAAAAAGTTCCATGAAAATTGCCTCTAAAGGGGTTTGAAGCATCACCCCCAGTCGTCACAGCCCCATTTGGGGAGTTCTAAAGAAGACTCTCAATGGAATAAATTCCATAAGGGAAGAGAGAAGGTCTGTATTGTTTGTCACTGTTTCGTGCATTATTATCCACCACTACATTTGAGGCAGCAGTAAAGTAGACTCAACTATTTGTTAAGTGGTGAGTGAATTTGAATATCAGCAGTTGAGTTAGAATAAGAGCTTTAATGCTCACTTGCTTTGGGACTATAAGCAAGTCAATTTTCCTTTGCAGACAGAAGATAAAGTAAGATAAAATATAAGAAAACCCAGCTAGTGTGTGCCTCTAGCAGGTGCTTAATAGAAACTAATTAATCAATCTTTTTATTAAACTGTAGGCCGAATGTGTGAACTTATTTCCCAGGTTTTATTAATACCATTTGGTAGCAACACCCCATCTAGCAATGACTATGGCAATGGGTGACTCAGAATTACCTGTGGGAAACTTCTGTCTCTATTCTTGTGAAATGTAGCAGAGGAGGTTGGGGAAAATTGAATTAAAAGTCTTTTTATATACCTACTTCTGAGCCTCCTTCTTTTAGACAAATCCATTATTTCTACCCACGGTGTGAAGAATACGGCTTTTTAAAAAGGTCAGGGAAAACATACCTATGTCCTTGGGAATTATGAGATCTCAATTCAGAACTGCTTCAACACTGGACTTTTTGAAGTCTGAAAAAAGAAAAGAAGAGTTGTTGGTCTCTGAGGACCTTGGATTTCAAATAGTAAAAGATTTCCTGAGGCTATGTGATAAAAGTGTAAAGGCAGTTCAGCTGCTCCTGCAGTTTGCTTGAGACCCTAAATGAGCCATACCAAACTATCTGAGACGTCTGAGATCAGCTAGAAGCTGGTGCCTATGTAGATTAAGGAGCCTCTGAAGCGGGATTACCGGGTTCCCAGGTTCCCTAAGGTCTCAATTCCAATCCAGGGCTCAGCAACATACAAACAAGCAATTATAACACCACTTTCCTGAGGGAACTGAAACATTGTTATGATATGGAGGCACCTCAAAGATCCCTTAGGGGCCACAGGGGAGTCTTGGTTCTTCTAATCATAGGCTAATATTACCGACGAGAAAATTCTGTCAAAAAAATGCTTTCAAAGGAGCTTGAGGATCCAGCCCCCCTGCACGCTCAGCCCACAGATTTCCTGTGAGTATTGGGAGCTGGCCCTTTATCCAAGACTAAATGGGGAGAGATTTTCAAAATGTCAGAGTATAAATGATAAATTGTATCAGAATTTCCATTTTCCCAAACCCAGCTCTGTCTACAGAACTCAAAGTTCCAAAGAGCTCTGTGAATCAAAACACTTCCAGGAATTTTTTTTTTCCCCAATCAACTTGGTTTTAAATAAATTTTAACATGGAGCTTATAAGAAGCAAAGGATTTCTCTATTTCAGCCTCTACTAAATTTATATGTAAAAAAATATATTTATATATTATACATGCTATTATATATTTATATATTATAATACATAATATAGCTTCCTATATTTCAAGCCCTTTGTTCAGTATATACTTGTGTTATTTCACTTAACATTCATATAACTCTACGAGAAATATATTATCTCTCCAATTTTACAGATGTGAAAACTTCTATACATATCTAATATTACTTATCTAATAATTATTTTACTAATTTACCTAATAATATTTTTCTAATATTATTCTCTAATAACAGAAACCAAGGCTGCTTAGAGGAATGGCTGGCTCTAGCAGTGGAGCAGGGAATATACCAGAGAAGCTTGGAGCATCTTACAGTTCCAGAAAGTAATGAAATGCTCAAGTCTGTCTGACCCAAATTCTGTATATTTTTACACTGTGCTCTACTGCTTCTCTTGGGAACAAATGTGGAAAAGCAGAGATGCTCTTAGAATCTAGAAAATGATATTTTCTTAGGTTCTCACAAATCCATGTTCCACTACAGTCAGTTACAAAAGTAGAGCTTATTTACTCACTTTTTCTTTGCTCTCATGAAAACATTTCCAAGAAAAAGCCCACTGTTAGAATACTCTTTTTAAACAAAAGAAGACATATAAAGTGGCCAAGCAAGTGGAAAGCTAGGTGATAGGAGTCCAAGGATATTTTTGCATACTCTTGGAATTTTGTAGCATCTAATCACCTGACCCACCTGTCCGTCTCTAAAGACTTAGGTTTCTTTGTCATTATTTATTTGACCAATATAACAACCAAGGGAAAAAAACTTGAGAAAGAAAGAGGGAAAAATGGGGGAAGACAGATAAAGAGAGAAAGCAAAGAAAAGGAGAAGGGGAGGGAATGGGACAGAAGAGGAAGAAAGAGAGAGGAAGAAGATGAGGAAAGAAGAGAAATTTCACCTGTAAGTTCAACACTCACAACTGAGACAATCTAGCCTATATATCTGACTTTATAAAATAATTTAGTACTCTCCTTTATCAGTGTTTAATACTCTAAAAAATCAAACAGATAAAAATGAAGACCATGAACATGGTGAAGTGGGGTGATTCTGGGTTTTGGCAAGTAAGAGGCCTAGAATCAGCCACTTATGAACGGATAACAGATGAATCATTAATCTTTTTGAACCGCATCCGTTCTTCATGGCGCTCAATATATCCTCTTTCTTTTCCCTCCAAAGGCTCTTAATTCCTGGGAAACACTCCTGCTTTTCCACTTTAACACCTTCAGCGTCTTCACTGTTTGGTCTCCTCACGAGATCAATTTGACTCTTCACCTCCAAATAGTTACACCTTGGGGTTTTGCAAAAAGTAAAACGCAGGAAGGGCCAATTCTGACTTTGGGATTGCTTCAAGGCCAGGTACCAGGGTCTGTCCATCCATATTTGAGTTAATGCTGCCACCTTGAGGCCATCTCAAGCTTTTCACCTGATGAGCCGTTCCCAGTGTTGGGGCTGGGAAAATTAGGACTCGTCTTCCTTGCAGCACTGACCAGTAAGTTCATATAGGAAAATGCTTTGGAATTACAAGAAAAATCAAGAAACTACCCTCTGCCTAAAAGGGTAATTTCATGGCCACATAGAATGTTAGCACCTCTTAGGACCTTGGAGGTCACAGCCACCACAGCCCACAGGTGACAATTGCAGTTAGAGCCAAATGCATCGGTTCAAATCCCAACTCTCCCTCCTAGTTCCTGGAAGGCTCTTACATGTCACCTAGTCTCTCCACTGCACTCCTTCTCATTATAGGGCTGTTGAAAATTAAAGTTAATCAACATAAAGTACAAATAAACTTCAGAAATACTGGGGATTTAGTTTCAGAACACTCCAATAAAATGAATATCACAGTAAAGCAAGTCACCAATTTTTTTTTCTTTGCTTCCTAGTGCATATAAAAGTTGTGTTTACGCTATATTGTGTCTACTAGCATTATGTCCAAAATATGTTTAATTTAAAATACTTTATTGCTAAAAAATGATGATAATCACCTGAACCTTCAGTGAGTTGTAATTATTTTTTGCTGGTTGGGGGCCTCGATGGCTGCTGACTGATCAGGGTGATGCTTGCTGAAGGTTGAGGTGGTTGTGACAATCTCCTAAAATAAAACAACACTGAAGATTGCTGCATCGATTGACTTTTTTTTTTTTTTCTTTTTTTTGGCAGAGTCCCTCTCTGTCACCCAGGCTTGAGTGTAGTGGCGTGATCTTGACTCACGGCCATCTCTACCTCCCGGATTCAAGTGATTCTCATGCCTCAGCCCCCTAAGTAGCTGGGATTACAGGCATGTACCACCACGCCTGGCTAGTTTTTGTATTTTTATTAGAGACAGTGTTTCACGATGTTGGCCAGGCTGGTCTGGAACTCCTGACCTCAAGTGATCCACCTGCCTCGGCCTCCCAAAGTGCTGGGAATACAAGCATCAGCTATCGTGCCCAGCCGATCGACTTTCTTTTATGAAAAATGTCTCTGTAGCATGAACTGTTGCTTGATAGCATTTTACCTACAGTAGAACTTCTTTCAAAATTGTAGTAAATCCCCTCAAACCTTGCCAGCGCTTTCTCAGCTAACTTATGGAATGTTTGAAATCCTTTGTTGTCATTTGACAATGTTCAGAGCATCTTCCCCCAGAGTAGATTCTATCTCAAGATACCGCTTTATTTTCTCATTCATAAGAATTCCTCATCTGTTCAAATTTTGTCATGAGATTGCCGCAATTCAATCACATCCTCAAGCTTCGCTTCTGATTCTAGTTCTCTCGCTATTTCCACCACATTTGCAGTTACTCCCTCCACTAAGGTCTTAAACCCTTCAAAGCCATCCACGAGAGTTGGAATCAATTTCTCCCAAACTCTTGCTAATGTTAATAACATGAATTCATGAATCAGGAATTTTCTTTATGGTATCTAGAATGGTGAATCCTTCCAGAGGTTTTCAATTTACTTCACCCAGATCCATCAGAGGAATCACAATCTATTGCAGCTATAGCCTTACAAAATGTATTTTATAAATAATAAGACTTGAAAGTCAAAATTAATCCTTGAATCATGGGCTGCAGGTTGATTGTTGTATTAGCAGGCATGAAAACCACATTAATCTCTTAGTTCATCCCCGTGAAAGCTCTTGGGTGACCAGGTACGTTGTCAGTGAGCAGTAATATTCTGAAAAATATATGTATTTTTCTAAGCAGTAGGTCTCAATAGCGAGCTTAAAATATTCAATAAACCATGCTATAATATAGTCTTTGTTATTCCATTTATAGAGCACACACAGGGTAGATTTAGCGTAATTCTTAAGGGCCTTAGAATTTGCAAAATGATAAATAGAATTGGCTTCAATTTAAACTTATCAGCTTTCTTAGCCCCTAACAATAGAGTCAGCCTGTCCGTGGAAGCTTTGAAGCCAGGCATTGATTTCTCCTTTCTAGCTATGAAAGTCCTAGATGGCATTTCTTTCAATATAATCATGTTTTGTCTGCATTAAAAATTTATTGTTAGGCCAGGCATGGTGGCTCATGCCTTTAATTCCAGCATTTTCTGAGGCAGAGGTGGATGGATCACCTGAGGTTAGGAGTTCAAGACCAGCCTGGGCAACATAGTGAAACCCCGTCCCTACAAAAAAAAAAAAAAATTATCTGGGTGTGGTGGTGCACTTCTGTAATCCCACCTACTCAGGAGACTGAGGCACAAGAATCACTTGAACCTAGGAGGTGGAGGCTCCAGTGAGCTGAGATCTCACCATGGCACTCCAGCCTGGGTGACAGAGCAAGGCCCTGTCTCAAATAAATGAAAATAATAGATAGACAGATATAGATAGATATTGTTTAGTGTAGTAACTTCCATCAAGTATGTTAGGTAAATCTTTTGGATAACTTGGTGTAGCTTCTACCTTAGCAATTGCTGTTTCACTTTGCACTTTTATGTTATGGAGATGTCTTCTTTTCTTAAACTTCATGAACCAGCCTCTGATAGCTTCCAATTTTTCTTCTGCAGCTTCCTCACCTTTCTCAGCCTTCACATAACCGAAGAGAGTTAGAGGCTTCTCTATTAGGCTTTGGCTTAAGGAGATGTTGTGGCTGGTTTGATCTTCTATCCAGACCACTAATATTTTTTCCGTATCAGCAATAAGAATATTTCATTTTATTATCTTTCAGGTCTTCTCTGGAGTAGCACTTTTAATTTCCTTCAACAACTTTTTCTTTGCTTTCACAACTGGGACAACTGTGTGACACAAGAAGCCTAGCATCTGCCCTATCTCAGCTTTTGATGTGCCTCCCTCACTGAGTTTAATCATTTCTAGCTCTTGATTTAAAGTGAGAGATATGCAACGCTTTCTTTCTATTGAACATTTAGACTCCATGGTATGGTTATTAATTGGCCTAATTTCAATGCTTGCTGACTTGCAGACTTATTTCTATCCATCAATTTCTCAGAATTTTCTGAGTGTCTGCATACTCCACAACCCCATGCAGGTAAATGCACTCTCTATGGATGTGTTTTCCTTCATCTCCTTTCCCAAATCAAGGCCATCTAATATTAATTTCACTACAATCTATCCATCCAAATCCATCCTGTCCTCCTCTGCCTTTCTACCGCAGAATTTCCCCCTCTTCTGTAGCAGGCTGCCCCTTCATCTATGCCATTGATCCATCTCTACTCACTTTGGAGACACCGTACTATAGCAATTACTCCCTGTCCCTCCATCCTTTCTTACTCACTCCTACCCCATTTGTCCACAGACATTCTAAAGTTACCTATCCCTTCCCCAAAAATGCTCAAAAAATCTTTCTCCCATCCTAATATACTCTTGTGCTATACCAGTATCCTTCCTTCTACCATCGAAATGATCAAAAGTGGTCCACAGCATCTTCCATTCTCTCCTAATCCACTGTATTGTAGCTTCAACTGTTTCTACTCCATTCTGTTAAAATAATATTATTTTCTCTTTTGTATATTTATATTATTTTTCATTGACAAATCATAATTGTATTATGTTTATGGAGTATGATGTAATGTTTTGATATGTATATACAATGTGAAGTAATTAAACCAAGCTAATATAGTCATCACCTCTTGATATTTTTGTGGTGATACATTTGAAATTTACTCTGTAAGTTATTTTGACATATTATGATTGACTATAGCCACCCTGATATGCCATAAAGCTCAACACTTATTTCTCTTGTCTCGCTGAAACAATATTCTTGAAGGTTTCTCCAAGACTAGCTTCACAGATGTGCAAAACAGTGCAGTCACATAAGACCCGGTGCTCAGAAACATCCCACCCTTGGAGGCTAATGTCTTCTGATTTTCATCTTCAAATTATTCAAAATGTTATCTTTGAATAACATTTTGTAGGTAAAGTCCGGTGGGACAACAGGGCATACACAGAAAACTTGGAACCTCAGCTCATGAGTGGTCACAGCTTCTGCCACCTCCCATTCTCCCCTTGATCCACTGCAGTCAACATAGTTGATGACTGTTGCCTACAAGATGACGTCCCACTTCCCAAGCCTGACATTCGAAGCACTCTAACCTGGAATAGTCTTTCCAGTTTTTATTTCTCTTGAGAGCCACCAAACATCCTACTTTCTATCCACATACACCCCAAAGTGCCCACACCGCAGTGTTTGGCACACCGTGGATGCTTAATGAACTGACTCCTACCTTCACTCACCACACCATGCATGCTATCCCCCTTTGGCTGACTTCAGGCTGTTCCCTTAGTTTGAAATGCCCTAGTTTTATTGCCTTTTTAAATCACTTTTACTTGCAGGCTCAAATTAATGCCATCTCCAAAGTGAAGTTTTTCTCTGAAGTTTTAAACATGTGTATCCTATTTATAACATTTTTTTTCAAATTGCCGTGTTACTTACTCCTGTACATTATGTCTTTTTTTTGTTTCTTTTAACAGAACACAATACTTTAGCTCCTCCCACTCCTGTATTCCTACCTATCACAAAATATTGTCCAGAAACCATCCAGTATGAACAAACTTATATTAGAGACTGAATGTGGGGTCCTTCTTCGGCTGTAAATTTTCTGAAGGTAAACTATGCCTTACTCATCTTAGCTTTCTTCTGGAACCTAGAACAGTGCCTTTGGACAGTAAGGACCTAATGAATTATGCAAATCCCATATGATTCTCTATTTAATAAATTTGAGAAGGTTCAGATATATCAATTGAGGAGTCTACCTCTGGGAAATTTATTTGTCCTTATCTCACCAAACTAGCTTTTAGATCACTAGATTGGTAGTTTAAAGTAGCACCGTATGCTTCTCATTATGAACAAACACGGAAAAGTATTGATTTGTAAATTGATAAACTCTGGGGCTATTTGCTAGTGAAAACAGTTTAAACTGGTATATCTTTAAATACATCTTGCTCCCACTTTTGAAAAGGAAACCGTATCCGTCTGCTATGTTACAAAACACTCGCATATGTAAACACATAGAAGATGGAACACTCTTTCCTAAGGATAACTCTAATCTGGGCTCCTGCCTCCATATCATCTGTGTCCTTTAGAATCTGGTTTAGTTATGTCACCTTACATCTCTTAAATCACCAATATCTCCATCTCTACAATCTCTGTCCAGTTAGATCCAAAAATCACTTCTCAACTCTGATCTCCTAGGAGCTAGACTTCTAACTCAACTTTCTTTTCCCTGAGTGAATGAATAAAAGCTCAAAATCCAAGAGACATTCATGAAGGAACAGAACTAGTAAGTGGTGGATCCAGGATGGAAACTCAAACCTGAAGTCAAGACCCACAACCAAAAGTCCCCCCCACCTTTTAACTGCAACTCAATTGCGTCAGTCTCAAATGGTCCACATACGAAAAGACCACAATTTTCCCGTCAGTGAGTTTGGGATTGGCTAACAGAGTACCATCCATCACCTAGATGTTGATCAGAAGGCATATGGAATTGTGTTTTTGCCAAGCTGAATTATTTTAAATAATAGTGATAACAAAGGTTTTCCTAGAAATTTCCTTTGGATTATAGTTAGGCCTATGACAGGCAGTGGAAAATCTTGGCCCTGGAAGGCTCCTGAGCTCTTTTCTCATCGCTATGCTTCCTTGACCTGGATGAGCTATTTTTTATCTATGGGAAGTAGCTAACTGGATAGATTTCCTGTGCCCTGGAAATCATTCACTCCTGAGTATTACTTTGTC